ATCATGGAAATCAGCATCACACTTCATTACATCAGGTCAGAGGCTACTTCAGGAACCTCTGATTTTTTTCAATTTACACTTTCTCTACAGTTGATCTCGCACCATCCATGAATTTAAACATTTATGTAACAGTGAATCTCCAATCTGAAACAAAAGCCATAATCTCTTCCCACAATTTCTGGTTATATGAAATGCTTACTCAAGATTTTCCCTTGAAATTTGAATAGACATCTCTCTGTTTAGTTTATTCCTCAACAAACATTTCATTTCTTTCTACCCTTGTCTTTATTTCTTGCACCTTTTAAAATTCTATCTCAGAAACCAAGTATGACTAAGTGCTCACACAAAGATCTAGGCCATCACCTTGATCGTTTTCTTTCCTCCTCCTTTTACTTCTAATTAATCTATAAACGATCTGTTTCCTTCCAGAGTATACCTCACATTCATTTATCTCTCTTGATCCCTACATTCATCCTTTTCCAAGCTCCTACTATTGCCTCCTCTACACTACTGCACATATTCTGTGCTATTCTTTTGCTTTTCATTGTTTTCCCCCATCCAACACACCTTGGCAACCATTTTTATGGGACAGTGTGTGTTGTATGTTTAAATAGAATGAGTTCATGACGCTTTTCTGCCTAAATCTCCACATCTTCCCATTACCCTAAAGCTAAAACCCCTGCTGGCTTACAGATCTTTACTTGTCCTGGCAATCAGTTACTTTTCTAGACTAATCCAAAACCATTCACCCTTCATACTCAGCCTGAGTTATTTCTCACCACGTACTTTTTTTTTCCTTTTCCCTTCAGATCACCAAAGGACCACTGCACTGGTCTACCCTTTTGAAATTCTCTGTATCTACCTTAGTGTGGTTGGTTCCTATTACTCAGATCAAAGTTTAATTGTCACTTTCTCCTACAGTATGACCTCACTTCCTGGTCCAGAACTACCATTAGTTCTTTCAAACTCAACTGATGATTCTCCAACAACTAACTTCTTAATTAAATATTATATTCCAGGTCACCTTGAAGTTAAACTATAAGCTTTACAAGGGACATGGATTTGCTAAATGTGCATAACAGTCTCTGTTATGTACATAAAAGTAGAGCCTGTTAAGTGGAAAACATACTATTACTTTTTAAAGTAAGATAATAAAGAATGAACAATTTAAACGCCAGTAAATTTTCAATTAAAAGTTTTCAATTAAAACTTTTGAATGATGATGACTGATGAAATCAAGATCTCTTGAAAAGTGAAGATTTCTTTGAACTGTATCAACAAATAAATTTTTGTTATTCTCACCATTATTGCTGTATTTTTTTCTTTTATCACCCTACCTATTTATTTGTCTTCGCATTTATTATTTCTAATTCTATTTCCTACATATATATTTGATCCAGGAGGGAGAGAAATTCTTCACTTTTTTTTCATTTGTTCACTACTAAATCTACCACATAGGACAGTAACTTGAACATAAAACAACCATAATTTAAAATGAATGAAAGAAGATTAAAATTATAGCTAAAAATGAACTGAGGTCCTTTCTATTTGAAATAAAAAAACTCAAGCACTCTATATAGAAGCAAAGGGTAACTTAAGTAAACATTTCTGATCTGGATCTCATGATATGGTCCTGTAATGCACCCTGAAAGAAACAGGGACTGAAGGGGGAAAGCAATTAAAATGATCTTTTTATTTCATTTTGTTTTATTTTGGCAGGTTCCTCATGATGCTTAGAAGACTTGGGGATACTTCTAGACCAACAAAGCTTGACATCAAACAAAGCAAGAACAAGAGAATGAAGGGCTCCTCAAGTTCTATGCTGCTGGAGGTTACCCAGAACACCTTAACAGTGCTCTGGATCTACAGGGACCATGAACTGGTGGTCAGCCTTAGTAAAGCATGTGCCTTAATCCCATGATTCACTCAGGACATGCCTTTTCACGTTAGAACAGGCACAACTTGAGATATCAGCAATCATCAGCAACTAATGATCCTCATGAAAAAATCAGTACAAAGACCAAGTGAGAAGGATGGAAGAAAAGACACCAAAGAGGTGATATTTGTGCTGTTTAGAATAAATGTCTCATTTATTAAATTTGTTAATAAAAGCTCCAAAGTCTGGGGAACTTCTCCCAGACTGAAAAGCAGTTTTGAAACTCACAAGTCTAGGGAGAACCAAATGGAATGCATTAGGGAAACTAAGTTGAACAAAACTGCAATGAGCCATAGTTAAACTAATGAATATAGCAAGTTTTGATGTGCACATAACCGGTTTACTAAAGAATTAAAAATAAATCCAAGATTTTCAAACAGTGTTTGTTATTCAACAAAACACCAAAAGGTAACATAAAGAAGATGCATGGTACGTGAACTAATATTCTTTGATAAATTCCAACCCCTTCCTTAATCATATGCATCACTTTCTTTTTTTTATTAATCAACTTAAGAATATTTTCAATTATACCAAAATTTGTGCTTTGCTCTATTGTATTCTGCATTTTTTTGTCTGTTTTTGGACAGATCCGGTGGTACTCAGGGCTTACTCTTATCTTTGTCATGTTCAAAGCAAGTGCTCTACCCACTAAACTATTGTTCTGACCCATATTCTGCATTCTTTTTCAAGAAAATTTATCACTATTTATTACCTTTTCAATGATGAAAATAATTTGTAGTCATGTGCCTGATATGTTTCAGAAAGCTATGAAGAGAAACTTGATCTATGTGCCTGCAGCCAGCTATAACCATTGAGATATCAAGATCATTGGCCAGAGAGCTCCAAGGTGGAGGTTGGTTTCTATGCTGATCACTGAAAACTGGGAAGACAGCGTACAAACTACCTAACTCTTGGAATCCTAGCTCCTTCATGTTATTTCTATCACAGGATTCTCAAACAGAATAGAAGTAGTAACTGAAATAAAAAGCCATTCCCAATTGTGGTTGTGTTCTGATTATCAATACTGCTTGTCTGGAACATTAAACGATAGCACAGCGGTAGGGTGTTTGCCTTGCACGCAGCCAACATGGCCGACCCGAGTTCAATTCCTCCGCCCCTCTCGGAGAGCCCAGCAAGCTGCCGAGAGTATCTCACCCGCACGGCAGAGCCTGGCAAGCTCCCCGTGATGTATTCAATATGCCAAACACAGTAACAACAAAGTCTCCAATGGAGACGTTACTGGGCCCGCTCCAGCAAAAATTTTTACACTAAAAGATATTTTTAAAACCGCATTGGAGATGGTTCTCAGAAGGTAAGACTTTTATACAAGGGTCCCAAAACTTTCTTGCCATCACATCATCTGAACTGAGAATTATCCTAGGACCTCTCTGGCTGGAATGGGTCATCAGCCCTTGTTTTCCTTTAATATTGTCTGCTTCAGCACGGAGAGTTCCTCACTTGGGGAATCTGTTGTTCCCAGACAAATCTAATCATCATCCACTTACTTGGAACCTAATCATTCATTTACTCATTCATCCATTTTTATGAAGTATTAGCTACCCTTTGAGGGGCTAAAGATACAAGAAAACAATTTCTTGTAATAAACATAGAGCCTAGCAAATGGGACAGATGAGTGAAAGAGATTCCCAAGTCCAACACTAAATGCTAATGGTGGAGAACTGCCTAGGGTGCTGAGAAAAAGAGGGTGAACACTTAACACAGATTTGTTGGTCAGGGAAATTTTTCAGGGGAACAGTTATTGAAATGGAGCCTGAAATATTCTTGTGCCCCACACAAGGACCTTCAACTTTATTTATTTATTTATTGTTTTTGGAGGGGGTCACACCCAGTGATGCTCAGGGATAGCTCCAGGCTCTGCACTCAGGAACTACCCCTGGCGGTGCTCAAGGGACCATATGGGATGCTGGGAATCGAACCCAGGTCGGCCGCGTGCAAGGCAAACGCCCTACTCGCTGTGCTATCGCTCCTTCTCTTGTCTGAGTTTGGTTTAAATATACATATTGATGTGCCATCTCAGATTCAGTTTGCTATTATCTACACAGACTCAGAAAAATGTCAGGTATGCATGTAATTCTTGTGAAATTTCATTTGTAAGGAATGTCCACAAATTCATAATTTTACAGAAGTTCTTACGATTCTGGAGATGCTGCTAAGATGAAAACCTGCTTTTTAAAGAATATTAACAGCCAAGCTTGTTTTTATCAATCTTTCAAACTCATTGAGCATGGTAAACTATTGGAACCATATAGTAAATGGAAAAAAAAGCAGAAGTTATAATAAATGATACTTTCCTATCCATAGTACTGTAGTGGTTGTGCTGGAGTTACCCAGTTATACGTTTCCTACAGCTTGTCATCAAGGAACTGGTATTCTGTTCTTCACAGCTGAATAACTTTTAAAGTATTCCTGATCATGCCTTTATAATTATAAGCAGAGCAGATGCTACCATAGGATAAGAAGACAGACACAGAATCGCTCAAAACCTACCCAAAGAAGCATAAACTTAGAAGAGAAGTTTATGAGAAATCCACAGGATAGCAGTCAGGCATGGACTAACTACTGCCTGCCCAATACTGGAAGCATTAGAGATGCAAAAAATAGGCAAGTTTTAGTTTGTTTCTCAGCTGTTGGATTATACCTCTAATTCTAGATGACCACCATTGAGCAATACATAAGATTTTTCTTAGAAAGTGCATATACAATCCCCTTGATATAGTAACTATTTGATGCTATGAGTTCTGTAGAATATAGACTCTAACCATCAGTTTAGAGTCATCAGTTACAATCACCATATATTATAGGTGACAAATATTTTAAATGCATTTTAGACAACAGTTTTACTGCATACAAAGATTCTTAGAAATTTTGAGCAGTCAGAGAACAGAAAATCTTCGGATCTGACTTCTGAGTAGTTTTTGCCTCTTTTTTATATACATAAACTCTTATTCACTTAAGTCTAAAGAACTCACCTGACATATTTAAAATTCAATGGAATCATAAACCTTAGATATTTTAATTGAAAAAATTCCCATTTATTTTTTACCTTTGAAGTTTACTACACCAACTGCAGTTGAAGCCAATTTGAGAGGATATGCAGGGGCCACAACTATTAAACTGGAGACAAGCTAGGGAAGAGAAGAGATCAGATTCATCAGACTAATTAGTTACATGAAGAAAACAAAACAAAAGTACCGTTCAAAATAAAAATAACCAGACCATCTCCATCTCCATGCAAAAACCAAGATATATATGCAAGACAAGCACCGTTATAATTTGTGGTTGGCAGATCATCAGATATCAAAAGTGAAAAAAACAGCCATATTTATGTGGTAACTTACTAGGTAATGGGGTCATCTCCACTGCTGAAATGTTGGTTATTTTTGACATTTGTAACTCTACTCGATGGTATTCATAAATAGTTCTTCTTCGAACATCTGTTAAAGCAAAAAATGGGATAAAGAGAAATGACAAAAGTCTTCATTTATAAAACAAAAGCATTGTAATTATGGGTGTAGAATGATATATATTTTTCACCTGATGAGAATTTAAAATAAAGATATAAAACAATCCCTGTGAATAGAGACACCATGAAAAGCATGTGCCCATAAATCTTCTTTATGAATAAAATTGAAAATGTTCATTAGTGTCTTCATTATCTCACTCAGTTTCACTACTGACTACCCTTAAGACATTCAGTTGGGGTTTGCTCTTCAAGCACATGTTCTCCCTCGAACGTGTATTCTGATTGTTTGTCTCTATTTTTTTTACCTATTTCCACTCTGGAGAAGCTTTTGTTCTCTCTTGAACCCACCCTTCTCCCTTTCTCTCTCCTTCCATCTTTCTAAGTAAGTTTCTGTAAAAATTTTGGATTCTGCTAAAATAAGTGATTGATTGCTTTTAAAATTAACTATACATTTCCATAATAAAAACAAAAACAGGGCCTGAGCAATTGTTCAGTGGTAGGGCACTTGTCTTGCAAGTATCTGACCCAGGTTTGTTCTTTGGAACTCCATCTGGGTCCCCCAAGCACCACCAGGAGTGGTTCCTATACGCATAGCCAGGAGTAAGACCTGAGCATCATTGACCGTCTCTCACCCATCCCCAATAGAGTAAAAGTGAAAACAAAGTCTAAATCATTTTGAAAAACTAGTACTGGAATTTATTAAACACAGAGGATCATATCAAGGAAGGTATAATTAGCATTTACATCGAAGAGAGAAATTTATGGTTACTTGCAAGCAAACCTAGCAGTGTCCCTGGGGAATAGGCTAGCTGGAGGTTTTGACAACAACTTTAGTAATTAAAAATCAGAATATAAATATAAGCAGACATATTTTATAATAGAATATGGCTTGAAATACACACATATGTATTTAAATAGACCTGAGTCTCATAATAAGAAGCTTGCCTTTTGGCAACTGTAGAAGTAAAACTAATGTTATCAGTATTTATTTAGCTGTGAGGATATTTATTATGACAGGAATTCATTCTTGAACACTATAATATATATTTGTAGTATTTCAGAAATTATAAATTATTTAAGAAATATCACAGTATCCAATCTTGTGGAGCAATATGTCATAGTGTTCTTGAGCAATCTCTCTGGTCTAAACCTCAGTCTGATTATTTTCTGTGTGACCTTGGGTTGTTTGTTATAGTTTCTGCAAGTCAGTCTCCTCTTTCATGAAAGAGAGATCATAGCACCTCTATTATGAAGTTGTTCTAAGAATTAAAAGAGCCAATATAAGTAAATTGTTCAGAAAAATCCCTTTCACAATGTAAACAGCAACTTTCAGATACATTTTTTGTCTATTTCCAATATGGTGACCACAGAAACAGGTCATATGCTACGTAATGTAAAGGCCTATAGATCTGTAGGTTGGATCCCTATAGATCTAAACTCACTGAAATCACACAAAGATGCTAAATGGAAACTTCCAGAAACTTACACATTATGTTTAAAAAGGAAGTTTTTATTAAAGCCTATAGTTCTAACAATAATCTCCTCTCAAAAGGAGAGCTGGACTATGTTCCCCCAGCCCACAAAAAAAATATATATAGCAAGCTTTGCTTCCTTTTATTAGTGTTCAAGAATTGTAGATGCCAACATATTCAGTAGGTATGAGGTTGTGGAGGGAAATCAAATATCTACTCATGTCCTCACTGTTCTCCATAATCCCACTTTCTTCCACTCACACCATTTCACCCATTTCTGCTAATCCCCCATGAACATATATACTCCAGAAAAGGAAGGGGAGGTGGTGAGGGTAATAAGTGGTTCTGGAGCCAGTCACTGAGCATGTTAAGTTTATGAAATTGAAGATACCATATTAAAACTCTAACTTTTTCTAGTATAAGTGGAAGTATGTTCTCCATATTAAAGTTTGTATCCTATCATATTAGTAGGTACTTAAAATACTTTTCTTTAAATCTCAAATTATACTTTGTAAAGTTCAAGCTACTGAAAATGTGAGTGAAACCTCTGAGAGTTAACCATTGGCCATCCACAGAAGTGTGAGAAAGGAGTGACCTATTTGGTATGCTAGTTTTATCATCTTCTCAGATATCCTCAACTATTGGGAGGAGATAATTTTAACAAAATCAAAATTAGTAAAATTATTTTTGTTTGATGTCCTGCCAATTAATGAAAGTTCCCAAATGTCCTTTGCTGTTTTATTTCAGAGATTTTCTTGTCAAAAGTAAGTGATTAGGAATGTATTTACTCGTAGCTTCTGCCAATATAAGCTTTTATTTGAGTCAGAAATATATTAAGCTCATGTGTCTTCTTTAGAGTCAGCCAATATAATGCTGAATAATTCAGTCTCTGTGATAATGATGTAGCTTTGACATTTTCACAACTTTAGGAAACTAAACCCAACTATTATACTTACCCTGTAAGAGGTTAGAAATTAAAAATAAAAATTTGAACAGATTAACCCTTTTATAATGTTGTTTCATAATCTGAACCTTAAAGTGATATGATTCAAAGTATAGCACCAAATTGCATGATTTAGGAATTTTAAGATCTGCAGGAGAAACACAGTGATCAAATAGACCTGACAGTTCTCCCTGATCTATACCTATTTGAGCTAAGTAAAGCAGGTTTGACTACCAATTGGCAAGACTGTCTCTGAAAAGTTAAAAATCAGAGAGGGAATGTATTAGTAACTTACTAAGCTGGCCTATCTAATATTATATAAATATTTTAATATATTATCTCAATTGTCACATTAAATGATTTGCTGACATTTCCCACATTTATGACAAATTCATTGCTGAATGACTGGCCCAAGTAATTGTTTTGTTTTTCCCTAGCATTGCTTGAGCTCCCCATATGCCACTATTCACCGAGTATTCTTTGATACAAATAGAATTTATCAGTCAACTATTAATCCATCCCCAGCATGAAGACTTAGAAACAGGAAAATCTTTTGGGACTGGAGGTATAGTACCATAGATAAAGTGTTTGATTTATATGTAGCTAATCTGGCTTCAAACCCCAGCATCCTATATAGGCCCCTGAGCACCACCAGGAGTGATCCCTGGGTATAGAGTAATGAGTAAGCCCAGAGCACCATAGGGTGTGACCTCAAAATAAATGTAATATTAACTGTTTTGAGAAAAAGAAATAAAAATGACTCAAGAGAAAAAAATACATTATTACAATATTTAAGTGTTTCCTACGCAAAAATGTTTTGCATTAACAGAATTAGCTAATTGGGGTGATTTTATCACCTATAACTAGAAGACACTATAGTTCCAAACATTTTCTTCCCTCTTTAGTTCTAATTCTATTCAGTAATAATAATGTGGGGCTGGAGAGATAGCACAGCGGTGGGGCATTTGCCTTGCATGCAGCCAACATGGCCGACCCGAGTTCGATTCCTCCGCCCCTCTTGAGAGCCAGGCAAGCTACCGAGAGTATCTCGCCCACACGGCAGAGCCTGGCAAGCTACCCGTGATGTATTCGATATGCCAAACACCGTAACAACAAAGTTTCCAATGGAGACGTTACTGGGCCCGCTCGAGCAAATTGATGAACGGGAGGACAGTGACAGTGAATAATAATGTAAGTTAACATTGTATAAGGCATTAATTTACATTTGCCAAACTCAGGAAATCTCATTAAATTAAATTATATTCGGCAAAATCAGGATTTAGATGAGGAAATTTTGTTTCTAGAAATTCTAGAAAATTAACTATTTTAAAATCAATGAATAAGATTTCAAATATCTAAATTAATAATGAATTTTGAAATAGTATTTATTATTTTAAGGGCCATACCCAGCAGTTAACTGGGGGCCTGGATAATCCCCTATCATCTTGGTGCAATGGTGTAGCAAGTGCTAGCAAGTGTCCCTTATAGCTCAGTGCTAGGGGCATAGCAATGCTTGGAGTCACTAGGGCCACTCTGTGGTGCTTAGGGACACTCAGGAGGTACTGAGGACTGAATTCGGGACCTCATACACAGCAAGCATGTGCTCTGCCACTGGATTATCATATTGGCATCAATTTTTGCTTATTTAAAAACATCAAGTTAGGCAAATTCTAAAGAAGGGATATTAGAAACGTATACATTAAAATCAGAAAATGTCATATTGCATAACAATTTCTAAAGTTGAAAAAGTTTAGAAATATGTATATAGGAAAGTTTTATCATTTATATTTTTTTCCTTTTGTTGAAACTTGGGTGAGGGGGTGTACAGTTGAGAATCTAAATACCCAATGAAGCTGTGCTATAAAGTGTAGAAATTTCACCTTCCATAAAATGAATAACTTTAAAGGGTTTTCCATTTTAGGGAAGAAGACAGCTTACCGAAGGATTTGTACATCAATCTGTCCTTAAATGAATGAAAAGGCTCTGATAACCTTGAAAATTATAAGTGAGGCTCAGTTCTTATGAAAAAATTAATTGGGTTATATAAAATATGGTGAAGAAAAAGTGCCTTCAATTTTTTCCAAGATCTTTTTTTTCTCAGTGGGACAACATGATTTTACTTAGGTGGCAATAAATTAAAATGAATGTGTCCTACCACAAAATCAAACTAACAGATTGTTTTCTATGGGGAAAATTAGCTGTAACAGAATGCTTATTTTGGAAAAATTTCTATTTAAATAATATATACCCTTCCAAGGGCTTTTAAAAGGCTAGGCCTTTTGTTTACTAAATATTACATAAAATTTTCAATTTTATTTGAATATGCGTATGTGGGTTACTTTTGCCCCCTCTGACATGGTAACCACCAGCCACATGTGGTTTATAGTTTATAGTTCATGTAGCACTGTTCATTGATTTGCTTGAGCAGGCACCAGTAACATCTCTATTGTGAGACTTTCTGTTACTGTTTTTGGCATATTGAATATGCGATGGGGAGCTTGCCAGGCTCTGCTGTGTGGGCAGGACACTCTCAGTAGCTTGCTGGGCTCTCCAAGA